ATTGGTGGATAAAACAAAGACAGTCATACAAGGTCAAAGAAGTTAGTGTGGTGGGGAGCGTTTCACCTTATCATTGATGTGTTCGTTTATCGATCTCACTTTACAGTGTGTGTCACGTCATTGTCCACACGAACTCGCACTATCGTGAGAATCGGCAATATAAAGCCTAACACTTCTGAAGAACACACTTGGGATAGGTAGGAAGTTATACATTAATACAAAATTCAATAGGTTCTACATAGTGGTCACAACTGCATGGCCGAGTCATGCCATCTTGAATGATTCTTCATGCGTTCACCAATACTGACCTCCTTCAAGCGTTACATGTTGAATATCAATCTTCTCAGTAATTATACGTTCAGCTTCGAGAGTGATGTGGTTGGGAACCAATAACACTACAGTTCTACTATATTCATTGACAATCTATTCTACCCAATGCATGCTATTATTTCACGCAGAATTATTTGAACTGGCCAGTGACTCGAATATATGAACCTACTAGTTATGATGACAAGTCGAAACATTCTACGATAACACTCAGTCTTGAGTGCTGTTAGAGGTATGAAGGCGGTTATCATTTCCCGATTGCTCATACCGTCGAAGAGTTCTTTTAGATGTACCTGAAAAGGAAATCGTGTTAGATACGGCCTTGGTGACCTGAGACAGTGATATCAGTGTACAAATGACAACCACTTGACGTCGCTCACACACGACCTTTTTGTGAGTAGTTTCCGTATAAGCTCTATACTTGTTGAGACCTTACCACCGTAGACCGAAATCCGTGGGGTAAAATGAGGTCTACATTATAAGGGCCGATGTTTTCTAACCCCACTCTTCCTTGTGGTAACACCTCACTGCCGTCACACCTCTGCACAGTAAGCAGTACTGTAGCGGACCAAAACGTACATCGACTCAAAAATAGCAAAAACGTTATTACGTCCAAATATTAATATTATAGTATACAAATTATAAGTTATGAACACAAATAAAAGTTAAAAGAAGTTACTTAAATCAGCAGGTTGGTGTGTGTTCAGTTGCGTTTGGTACCAGAATCCACAGTTATAGATAATTAATAATTCCAGTGAAGTGGATATGGCTCCAGTGATATAGCCAAACGTAGAACACAATGGAAATGTTGCCGCAGTCTATAAATGTCGATGATATATATTTCAGAGTTCAGTTGTCGTAACCACAAGCAATGGAGAACAAGAGACTTGCGTATAGTTGTGTATTTACAAGCGGTTAGCAACGCGTGTCATGCAATTAGTATTACAGAGCGGAAAAGTGTGTGTTCAAGGTCACATGTTTAAACAACATGTGCAATCATTTGGTGGTAAATGTACCGACTGTGCAAATTGACAAAATAAATGCAAGTAATGCCAAAAACCATTTAAATAATAGGTTTGTTATGCCTGTCTCCACACAGCCCCTTCAGAGTGTCCAGAGGTAGCACTAGGTTGTAACACACGAAACTAAGGAAAATGGAAGAGTAGAGTACATGGCAGTAATACGCAATGTGTTTATGTACAGAGTTACGTGAATGTACTCAGGCAAAACGAAAAGAATGAAAATACAGTCAGTGATTTAGTCAGCTACTAATAGTAAAGTGCAAAACTGTTGACAAACTGACGGAATAAAGATTACAATGTTTATTTTTACGTATGATTAATAAATAATTAACTAGAGTTCACTCACCTATTATTGTGACGATTTTTGTATTTAAAAAATGTGACGAGACGAGTACTTGTGGGGAAATATAATTAATTATGAACACTTTGTGTTAAAAAAATTTTTTCTTACAAAATTGAGTGAATTCAGTAATGTAATATATATCAATGATTGCTTGTTTTGATTAATTACTCGGCAAAATTAACTTAACGCTTAGGCTTGTTCACAGTTCTGCCTGAACGTGTTAAACACGTTGGCTTACTGTTTGATTTTTCGTCCTCTCATCCTACAGTGATCAATGGTAGGGGTTCTTTATTTGTGGCAGTATTTTGTTTGTCTTGCTGATCCTCGCAAAAAGCAGGTTTTATTCTATCTATAGAGATGGTTTCCTTTGTCCCATTTCTGTTGATGATGAGGTGTTTTCTTGTGCGTTTAATTACTTTATAAGGCCCCTCATATGGTTGTTTCAACGGCTTTTTAACATCACCGACTCAAACCAAAACAATTTTTCACGTTTGTAGACGTTTGCCGAGCTGTACACGGCTGCTGTGCCTCCTTGGGGGCATTGCTTTCAACTGTTGCATTGTTTGCAATAGGCGACTAGCAAAATGACTTTGATCAGTAGAAACTGTTGTGTGTAGGTCGACTAGTTGTCCTGGTAATGTTAAAGTTGTGCCATAAGCTTGTTCGGCGGATGTGTATCCTATATCTCCTTTGGTGGTTGAACGGATTTCAAGGAGCACAAGTGGTAAGGTATCACTCCACTTTGATCTGTCAGGTTATGCCATCAATAAGCTTTTCAATTGGCGGTGGAATCTCTCCATCAGGCCATTCGCTACTGGATGATAAGTAGGAAGTTTTCAATAGGGCTGATTGTGTGTCTTTGAATTTCGCTGTGTTGACACTGTATTCAGCTTTGTGTCCATCGTTTTATATCCCAGTTAATTTTGGGCCAGATGAAGCGTTCAGTGATGAGTTTTGTGGTGGCTCGGGTCCTCGGATGTGAAAGTTCGTGTAACTGTTGAAATATCTGTCTCCAACAGGCTTTCAGTATAGTCAATTAGAGAAGAACGCTATAGGTATAATCATGTCGTTTACATGCTATTGCAATACTCTCCATACAGCTTTCTGAGATGCATCAGTGCAGAGAACTAGGTGTGGCTTAGGGTCCGTTTTTAGGTGTTGTAACATGATATAGTTGGATATCATGGGCTTTACTTTATCGACGGGCGTTTTGGCTCCAGGAAGTAACATGAAGACGTCGTCTTTCTTGGGATTCGCTTCTGTTCTATCTATCTTCAGCAAATCTGTCAAGGAGTGTGAAGTGTCTGAGCAGTTAGGAAGGAAACGTCGGTAAAAGTTGCTTATCACAAGAAATCAACGTGATGATTTTACTGACTTTGGCTCAGGGTAGTTGCATGTCAATATTATTAAGGAGTCCGTCTAACCTTTGTCGATCGATTAGATCTCCGCGTCTCAGAATCTACCGTTTTAGGGTTTCGTAAGGTTCCGAAACATAACTGGTAAACATACTAAGTAACACGTACCTGTTGAACTTGCGCAGTAGTGCCTTTACTATCGTGAGGAATTGTAAGTGTTGATCAGTCATGCCATTCTCGTAGAAGTCGGCCTCTGCGTAGCAGAACCAAGCTTCGATACTGTCCAGCCAATAGGGTGTAGATGGCGTCGAGTCTTGATAGACTATGATCACCACTACAATGAGATTACGAGCTCAGAAACGACTTGGTCCCTTTGATAACTCGCAATTCAGAAGACTGCAACTGGTCCAGGTAGAGTATATTTATTCGCGATCTCGTGGTATCGAATGAATACCGAGACGTACCAAAGATTACAGGCAATAAGAGCACAGCGAGAGAAAGTTCGAACCAACAAGATGGAGAGCGGAACGAGAAGTGACTTTGATACAGTTAAAGAACCACAGTAAAACAATCGCTGGTACAATTGGTTATAATAATAATTGTTTCTATTATAACAATCGCATTCTTGTGGAAAAAAGCAGGTCACTACAAGGGCATTAACTGAAACAAGGGTGGTTTATGATTCTTGACCTTAATTAGCTTAGGAGTCTATTCTATCATGGCAAATTTAAAGTATAGGGATGACTCGGGGAACAATATTAAAAATACGAAACAAAGATAGCACCATGTATAAAAAATAAAGCAAGGCAATGCTTTATGAAGTTCCAAAAACGGACGGACTAACAGTTTATAAGTTAGTGTGTCAGATCACGTCGAACTCACCAATGGAGATGCCGAAGGTATTATAGTTTGACAATACTTTGACTAGTAACATATTCGATAATTGAGTCGTGCCCACTCTTGGAAATCAAAAGTCAGAAGTGAGGAGATTCGAAGGTATATTTGATTGGTTGTCAATATATCGAGGAGTGACTTATCTAAACTGGCTAGCGATCGCACGAGAAGTTGAGCACTGCGCTCCCGCTCGTGATCTGGTACGGATACATGACCGAGAGCCCTCAGCTAGATATGTCCATTAAAACTAATGTGGTCAGCATTCAATGTTGAACACTTAGAGAACTATTGATCATGGGGATTTACTTACCGCTATAGTACTCAGTTACGCATCAGCACCAGATCACGAGTGAATGCGCCATGCTACATATCTCTTGCAATTACTACCCAGCTTAAATCGAATGCCTCTCAACTTATCGACGACCATCTAAATATATATCCGAACTCATTCATTCTTGACTTCGATTACAAAGGTGTTGTAAACAAAAGCGCTGTCAAACCCTGAATGTATATATATATATATATATATATATATATATATATATATATATATATATAAGGTATCTTTAACACATGTTAACTCCAGACATGTTACAACGCAGCTGGGCATATGACAGGAAAAACTGATAAATCATGCAACTTCATAGGATAAGTTATGCACTATATTACAAAGGATCTTTTAAATTTTCTCCCACATTTTTGAGAGGACATACATCAGGCCACGTCGATGTCGCTCGCTTAATTACTGCCACTAATTTTGAATGCTCGTTGATATGGGCGGTTTTCAACTTAGGTTATTCCCAGTTTAGGTTCTGAGTGTAAGCAAATCCAAATAGTCTTGTTTACGTTCAACTCTTTCTAGTACTGTTGTTTTTGCCTTGTAGACTGTTTACTTCTGGTCATAAGACCACTTAAATTGCTGACCGTTTACTTATCGACCTGTTTTCTTACAATTCTGCTAACATCACGGCCTAAAATCTTTAAAAGTGCTGTAACTTCTGAAAATTATCGGTCGAATCTTGGTCTTGAGTGATACATAGCAATCACGCACATCCCACCATGTCTAGCCCACTGAAAACTATTTGCACAGTGTTTATGTTCTATTGCTTCTCAATATGCCTTACATTTTTCAACAGCCGTTGTATAAAAGTTCGCGAAATTTCGTTGAATAATTTTAAAAGTTAGATGTTCCCGTATCCACTCTCAATCACTTTACTGCATATGATCATTAAATTCTTATTATCATGGTTCGTAAGGTGTTCGCAATCGTGGTTGTATAATTATCCAAGAGTAGAGCTTCCGTGGGCGAAATATGTGAGGGTTGTTGCTATCTCCGGGATCTCTAGGTACAATTTAAGAGTTTGCAAACATTTTGTTAACAAGTGCTTTAGATATTGGTTGTTCAAATTGGAGTTTTGAGTTTATTACTGTATCATTGTATGTTCTTTTGCAAATGATAATCTTAAAAACTCAGGTACACAATGACAAAATCTACCAGCGTCATTTTTATTGTAATGTTTTCTGTCTTACTAAAACTGGAGAAAAAAGTAGGTTGGTGTAATACAAACAAACTTTTAGCGTCCATCTTTAGTCATCATTGTCATCCTAATTACCTGCGGGCTTTTTATGTTTTCATATGAGTCTACCCAGTTCGATTACATAGGATTCCTTCTTGTTCTTGCTGCGTCATTCTTAAGTGGAATTCGATGGTCTTTCACCCAGCTTATCGTACAAGGACAATGTTATGGTAAGTTCTCGTACACTGTATTTTTCCAAGTCTGTCAAGTGATAGTTCTTCAAAAACGATTGTGTACACACTAAAATCGTTTTCGGGGGTCACAATAAATTTAGATTGAGTAATCAAACAATTGTAAACTTCAAGTTGAGAACCGTTTTTACCTGTTATTTTAATAAAATCAGTTGTTTCATTTGTTATTTTAACAAGTAAACGCAGAGATTCAACATTTATCGTGACTAGTGCTTCGCTGGAGTAGACGTATAATTTCGATCTAAATTACCGATTTCTGTCCACAATTCGCATCTCCGATATCCAGAGCAACTTTTGATATCCTTCGAATAGGCTCTACGTGTATTTAAAGCAGTCCTGGGATGAGTCATCCATACAATATAAACGGGTGCTGGTATATTTAAGGAAATGTTCTCTAAAACCAGCCTAAACGCCCACATTTTTCTTAAATTTTCATCCTTGTGTTATAATGCAATCCACTTCTTGTCCTCTTACATTATTTTTGGCTGTATTCCCTAGTATCTGTCTCAACATTATCTGTCCTCTGCATTCAAACGAAAGTGTAATTGTTTCGTTCGTTTACACTTGATCCCACTCGGTGGCATTGGCCACCCACCAATGATTTTCAAGCAACTACGTACTAGGCCTTCCTTTCCAGTTTCTAGGTACTGTTCATTGCCTTAGTCTCTGCTTCCGATTCCCAACTCCATGTGTTCTTTTTTCTGACTCTCTGTTTCTTGCCGTGGGAATTCCAAGTTACGGTCCGCTTTGTAATTCAGGTTGACGGCTTTCGTAGTGTCTATCCGCTTCCAGCATCTTTACCTAATTTTCTCTTTAATTGGCAGCTGGTCTGTTCTCCGTCAGAATAGGTTATTGACTGTAGTATCTAACTAGTAGGACTGGAGTAACTTGCGTAGACAACTGACTACAAATACCCGTGCCTTTTTGACGGTGGCTGTGGTAGTTACCTTAGTTTCAGCTCCATACAGTAGAACTGTTTTGATGTTATCTGTACAGATTCTGACTTTGGTGTTTCGTAACAGTTCATTGGAGTTCCAGATATTCTTCAGTTGAAAGTATTCTTCTCTTTCAATTTATCCTCCCATATCTATGTCAGATACTCCTTGTTTGTCGATAGTGCTCTCCACGTGCATCAAGATGTCCATCTATCCAAGAGCTTTCACAATTGTGATTTGGTTGGAGCCGTAGTGTTATACTTCGGGATCCTGCTTTTTCCCTTGTGAATGCTGAAGTCTCGTTCCACGAGAGGCACCGCCACATTGACTGTCTTCTGTACTTGTTTCTGTGTATATGATGACAGATCTAAGTCGTCTACAGAGTCCGAATCATCCAGATTCGTCCAAGAGGTCTTCTGTATTTTATGCTTTTCCGGAGATATGGAGTTCTTCATAATCCAATTGACATCTTGTAGGGAGAGTAAAAGCAAGGGTAGACAGCCTTATTTGACACTTGGAATGTATCTGTGAGTTGTTTTCCATTCACGGTTTTGCAATGCAATTCCTCATAAGAGTTCCGTATAGTAGTGGAAATCCCTTCCGGTACTCCGTAATGTCGACGATTTCACAGGGTCTTTATATCTACCTGCTTCAGTTTGGGCACCTAGGCAGTATCACAGCACTCACTAATCAAATTAGATTTGTGCGGCGCATATATACCTGGTGCTCCCTTGTACCAATATTTGTGTTTAAATAAATATATCTACATTATGGGAGGCTTTCTCACAATTGGAAGTTGTTGTATAGTGTTGATGATGTGATGTGATGAGTTTTATTCATTTGTTTGCTCAGCAGTGATTGACGGTGTCGCGATCCAGTCTATAAGTGGGTGGTTATTAAAAAAGCCAGCTTGTTGATGTAAAAGTTGAACGTCTGCTGAATCTTTCATTCGGTTCAGTAACACTCTTGAAACAGTAGTATGATCCATTCATCGTTTTATAACTTTTAACGAGTTACCACTCTTCAACTATTGGGAGAGGTTGTGAGTGTGCACGCAGTTGAAGTTACCTCATGTAGATTCCAAGTTATACGTTTATTCAAGCGAAATTGAGCTCATTAGTTCATGGGTTTGGTTGGAAACTTGTGTATCAGTAAGTAGTTTCGACTGTAGTCATATTTATGTAGTATATTTTTACAATTGTAAGGTTGGAACGAAGAGTGAATGTTATTCTTAGATTTTTGCTGGAGACCTAGTCATACTTTAATGCTTCCGAATTATCCCTATTTCGCAGGTCTTTCTCATCCTATTGATTTTATGTTCCACTCACAACCATGGATGGCACTGGCTATTTTGCCCCTTTCTCTTTACATCGAAGGTAAGTTATTGTACCACTGAATCCCTCATATCTTTTTTCGTGTAGTGTAATCCTAGTAATTTCTAGACAATTTTAAGTCGGTTAAAAACAAACTAGATTTATCTTCGTAGTGACTTAAGTTTTCAGTACTGTGTGGTGGGTAGTATTTATTGCTAATGATTTTTGTGCTACTTATTCTAAAATATACAAAATGTCTCTTTATCCCAAATAGTTATCGAGCGTTGAATATCGAGCCGTAAGGCCAATCCTATCTTTATTGATGTGATTTGTAACTCAGTATGTTGTAGAACGTGTAAAATCACTGCATCATTTCGACTAACCACAGTCCCCGACCCTATGGAAGCACCTGTAGGAAGGATAATAGCTCTAAAGCAGACAGGGAAAAGATGTCTCAAAGAAATTACTATCAGAAAGTGCTTTGTTGTATTGCTTTTTTTAGTTATGCCAGTTACGTCACAGGGTTTTGGACTGTTATTTTAACCGATTTTATTTACCATCAAGGCTTACTCGACCCCTTATAAATCGAAATTACTCGAGATTACTCGCGCATGGTTACTGTTTGTTCCTTCTGGATGTAGGTTTCAAAAACTTTGACAAAGAACCACTAACACTACAAATCACGGTAAACTTGTTCACGCTGACTGTACCGTTAGTAACAAATAGACGAAGATAGGATCGTTGGCTATTTTAACCACAGATTTTTTTAACCATTTTGAGGAGTGTTCGTTAACACGGGAATGTGAATACCTAGGATATCTAACTTGCCCCATAGCAGTAGTTGGATTGTTTGGGACGATGTGACTGGTCTAAGTAATGTTTCCTTCAATCCCAGAGTCGTTTTCTGTCGCTTAGAAATTATTAATTGCAGTTTTCCTGTCTTGAGCGTTCTGTTAAGTGTTCGGCATAACCTCATCATTAGCATTTCACTAAGTGCGTCACCTCTAAGTGGTAATCGCATAAACAAAGATTCTTTGCTTACCGTAAACGTCTCCGAGCTACCATTTTCGTTTTGAGTATTACTCATTTATTACACATTTATTCCTTACACAACTGTATCTGGAGAACATATAGTCCTTAATCTATGATAGTCTTCATGTTTATTTTACATTGTAGAGGAAAAAAACCTAAGAATGCGGGTATTGACTTGTCCAAGTCCCTTTCTTGTTTAGGTTCCTTTTGAGTGATCCATCTACTTCATCAGTTAAAAATCTAGGAAGGTTTTTCTGTCTGTGCTTTATTTCTCGTATGTGAATTTAACAGACAAGTCAACATCACTGAATCTCTTGAAAGTCTAACCAGTCTGCGTAATCTTTACAAAGAATTAAAATATCATCTATGTATCGACAGTAAAAGGAAAACTTACCAGTAAGTTGTGCAGGTTGCCAGTTTTTCAGTTTAGCTGAGAAAATATCGGATAGCTTCGGACTCACTGGCGAACCTGTTGCTACTCCGCCCAGTTGTCTGTATGTTCCTTCGTTAAACATGTAATTCGAATTTATAGTACATTTTAATAACAATTTTTCAAGTACATTTAATGGGATTACAATATCTAATGTCATTCCACTAATTTAGTTGCACGTATAATTGACTAACTCCGTCTGTAGCTCTTCTGGGGGTTACTGTCGGTCCCAAGCCTGGGTAAAGCAGGAGGGTTGGGTCTGGGGTCAGCATCCCAATCCCGTAGAAAACAGCCTTGCTGAAAAAGTCTAATCAGGATAATATATTTGAACTCTGTCTTCCAAGTTAAGAGATCTTCTTTCGAAAGAACTATGGCGCCTCATAATGGAAGCCGAAACTCTTCGGAAGCCATCAGGTCGATACTCCTCCTAACAACCAGAGCGAAAACTAATATAGGTAGGTACATAAAACGTCCAGACAATGCAGAAGACTTGGAAGACCATTCGAATGTCTGTGGAAATGAAGAGATGCAACATAGCGGTGCTTAGAATATGTGAAACTCATTGAACCCAAGTTGGACAGAAAATGGTAGAACCGTAAGATATGCTGCTGTACTCTGGTCACGAAGAAGAAAATGCTTCGCATACCCAAGGCGTTGCTCTGATGCTATTTAAAAGAGCACCTAAAGCACTTATACGATCGGTGTCTCATGGATCCGGAACCATCAAAGCTTCCTTCAAAACAAGGAATTAGGAGATCACAATGAATGTTAGCCAATTTTATGCACCCACTAATGTCTACTATAGAGACCAGTTCTATGAGAGGCTGCAATCGATCTTAGCGAAGTGCCCAGGAAAGGACCTCACCATCCTGATGGGAGACCTAAATACCAAAGTAGGGATGGACAACAACGAGCATAAAGATATCATGGAACCACATGCCCTGACTGGGAGAAAAGAACGAGAACGAGGAGTGTTTTGTAAATTTATGTGCCTTCGACAAAACGGTTATAGGTGACACCATATTCCACCACAAACGTATGCACAAAGCTCCATGTTTCTCACCAGATCACACCACGAAGAACCAAATAGAAATATATGTATCACTAGAAAATTCAGAGCGTTTATGGAAGGTGTGGAAACCAACAGGGAAGCTGACATAGCTTCAGATCACCACCTGGTACTTGCCAAGATGAAAACGAAGCTAAAGAGACACTGGACAACTGGAGACAGCAGTACAAAGTTTCAATACAGCCTTCTTACAAGATACTGACAAACTCAATGAATTGAAGATAACTGAGCAGCAGGTTCCAAGCCTTACAGAATGTACTGAAAGAAGAAGAAACCGCGATGGAGGACAACTGGAAAGGGACCAAAGAAGCATTAACTTCAACGTGTCAGGAGGTGCTGGGTCGCAAGGAGCATCATCATAAGAATGGATCTCCATCGGGACACTGGACAGGATTCAAGAAAGGAAGAACAAGAAGACAGCAATTAACAACAGCGTAACAAGAACAGAGAAAGTCATGGCACAGACCGAACACACAGAAACAAAGAAGAGAGCGTACAGGAGCATTAGAGCTGACGAGCAGAAATACGTGGAAGACCTAGAAGTGACAGTGAAAAAAGCTGCAAGAGAAGGAAATATGCGACAACTAAATGATGCAACGGAGAAACCAGCGGGGAAGCATTGTAAACAAGGGCAGGCAGTCAAGAGCAGAGGAGCAGATGGGTAGAATGCTTCGAGGAACTCCTGAATAGGCCAGCTCCATCGAATCCACGAGACATCGAGGCAGCACCTACAGACCTTCCTATATATGTCACTTTACCAACGATCGAAGAAATCAGGATGGTCATCAGACAAGTCAAGAGTGGGAAGGCAGCAGGATCTGACAACATACCAACCGAAGCACTGAAGTCAGACATAGAAGCAACTGCAAACATGCTCCATGTTCTATTCAGCAAGATTTGGGGGCAAGAACAAGTGCCTACAGACTGAAAAGAGGGATATCTCATCAAGATACCAACGAAAGGAGATCTGAGCAAATGTGAGAACTACAGAGGCATCACACTACCATCAGTACCAGGGAAAATTTCAACAGACTGTTGCTGAATCGGATGAAAGATTCAGTAGACCCCCAACTTCGAGGTCAACAATCCGGATTCCGTAGGGATCGGTCGTGCACAGACCGAATTTCGGTACTATGGATCATCGTTGAACAACCAGTTGAATGGAACTCATCACTATACGTCAACTTCATTGACTGTGAGAAGGCGTTTTACAATGTGGACAGGAGGAACTGATGGAAACTTCTTCGACACTGGTGTACCTGTGAAGATCGTCAACATCACCCGACGGACTGCACTGCAAAGTCGTTCATGGAGGACAGTCGTGGGACGTGTTGCAGGTGGGGACCGGAGTCAGACAAAGCTGCTCACTCTTGTCCTTCCTCTTTCTTCTGGTGATTGACTGGATTATGTAAACTTCGACATCTTAGGGTGAAGCACGTAACACTGCACTGGGAATCGGAAGCTGACATCAAAATAATGGATAGCAACCGGAAGGGATTGCCCACGTCAGCGCTCGATTGACAATCCTGATCAGCGGCCTATGCTCCTTCACGTTGAGTAAAATAAGTAAGTAATTATTGATGACTGTCTCCATGAATAAAACATTTGTGATGTCACACCCAAAGATGAAGTAGTGAGTCCTTTTGGTGTTTAAACCTTTGGTTGTCTGAGAACTGAAATGCTTTTCTACACTTTGCTTAACAATTTGTTTATGGGGTAATTTCTAAATGATCCCTTACAGTTTCTATTTATATAGGCTTTCAAAGTAGATAGATGTCTATCTTCATATGGTTTAAACGGCTGTGTATCTCAGAATTCTAAAATTAATGTTAGTACTCCTTGTTTAGTTTAGTAGTCGAGACGTTATATACATACTTCTGAGGTCCTTTTTAGGAAATGTTTTCAACTAATTGATTTTGCTGGTTTCTAAGCGATTGAATGGGCTTATCTTTGCTCCACATTTCGTCACTTTCTAACCATATTGCTTCGCAACATTTTTAAAATTATAGAGCCTGATGACTTTTTATTGGGGGAAAATATTGTTCGTTCATATATCTGTGTTTCCAATGTTCTGGGAAATTTCAAACGAATAACACTGCAATTTATTTTATCATGATTTTCCTAGGTTTTGAACTCATAACAGCGAGGAATCTTTTTCGCACTGATGACTTTGATCAGTTAATAGGCAACTTAGTCCAACTAGGTACTGGAGCTGTGTTAGCATTCGGTCTTGAAATATCAGAATATCTAGTTGTTAGTTCTGCTTCAAGTTTGACTTTATCCGTTGCTGGTATATTTAAGGTTAGTTCCCAACATTTATGTTTAAAAAAGTTTTATTGCGTTTTTTCTCAATGTAATTTTCTAAGACTATTCACAAAATGTGGAAATTATTAACAACTGACTATATTTCCTTATTTTCGTTGTTACCAAATCGCATTAGCCTATACTCCATTCGGGGTACAGGTGTAAGTAAGTAAAGCTCATAATCAGAAAATCTATAGTTCTGTTTCTTCTAGTTTAATGCTTTCTGGGTAAATTGTTTAATAATCTTTAGTTAAGTTGGTGTCCTATTATTTTGGTTAGGACAAAAAACGGTTTACAACATAAGATAAATTTACCTAAATTTTTGATATCTCACTACATGTAGCAACTGTGAATAAGAATAATCATCGAGAAGTCGGATATTCTGGGAACATCATTTTATTATGTGTATTGATAGCAAACAGTCCTCTGCACTCTGGCGGGATGAATTCGGTGTTTTCCTGAAAATTAGGGCTTGAGAGCTACTTTACACTACGTATTTCAGCTAATAAATCTCTAGCAACTGGCACTGGAAACTGAAGACGTACCACAGCTGCAAAGATTTCATTGGGATACTGAACATGATGTCGTTGGATTTCCTTACTACTATGATTGATGCTATCAGTGGTAAGAACGTTACTAAGTAGTTATCACTAATTTGAAGGCGTCCTCTTTCTTGTAAATCAATTTACATAGTACTGGTTTTTTGAAATATGGTAATGGGACATATCCGTGTGTACTAATTTCCGTTTTATGTCTGATATATTTTGTTTATCTAGAGTGGTTTCGTCGGGTTGTCAGGTGCTGTAGTGTTAATGTATGCACATGAAGCTCAACCACTGGGGTTATGATCGCCGGTTGTGAACTAGATCAGTTACTTGAATAGGGGCATTCAGCTTTTCATGTAATTAACCTATGGGTGAAGAGAGTGTTATCAGTAAGTCTGTTGGCATCAAGTGTAGGACAGACAGTCGATTTAATGGTTATTTAAGTAAATGAGCACTTACGAAACCATCGATTCTAAGCAATAGAAAATAAGTAACCTCAAGGACATGTACTCAGTGGATCATACTTTTTGTTTAACCTATTTTTAAAGGTATTAAAAATTAAAGTTGTTTTACGAACTGAGTCGTACGTATGTTAGACTTCAGATGTTATTTGTTGTACGTTAAAATTCTTATTCTCCTAGTTGGACAGTATCGTTCTATTCAGCACATTTTACGAATACGCTGTCTTAAATTTTAGGAAGTATGTACTTTGTATCTTGCTGCAAAATTTAATGGGGATAATATATCTCTCGTAAATGTGATTGGCTTCGTCATCTGTTTGTGTGGAATCACTCTTCATATAGTTGTAAAAGCTGTCAACAGTATGTTAATTTATGATTTTATGCTCTGAAACTTCATTACTGTCTAATATCAAATATTTAAACTTAATAAAACTATTTTAAGGTGCATGGGGTCCCTTCAATACTTACTAATATATAACTTCATCCGTGTTTAGGCTCTCACCACCGTCATCATTATAAAAACGTGTTACAAAATGCCACAAATCATAATGTATGTAATCTGAAAATCGTACTTCTCTCCAATCTTAACACTCGAATTATGTGCCACTTTCGACATAATCTATAATTCAAGATACTGAATACGAAAAATATCCCATGATTGTCTAAAAAACGATACTGACTTGTTAGTGTTATAATTGTTTTACTAATAAAATACCCATCTACTCCTATTGCTTAGTATTCTTATACAACGACACTGGACAAACCCAAAATGTCAGAACAAGTTGAACAGAAACGAAATTGTATTCAAAATAACAAGGGTAGGTAAACAGCAATCCTTCGTTAGAAAAACGTTCATATATTTATAGTATATGCATAAAAAGCTTCTAGATGCTTCTCCAATAATCTGTCACAGCTGATTTGTTTAGAATTAGCCAATCAGCGTGCGGCGTCACGATCATGCACATAACGTGCTTCAATCCGATTTATTTCTCGCTAACACCTCCCCTTTGAGAGATTCGTAAGATTTGGTATTAGGGTTCACCTGCAACCGCTTAACTGGTTTATGCTTCGGGTTTGTCCACCTTCTAGGTAATAAGGACGTATCATCCTTCGTTTGCACAGTGACTGTCCTGTCTGTTTCAGGCGTTTTGATCTCGAATGTGTCTAGCAGAACATCAAGAGGTAATCTATGCTGCGTTTCGTTGTTGGCGATCGAGGTTGATTTCAGTTGGTTAGCATGACGCACCCAGGCTTCTGAACCAACGGACACCTCGTGAACCACATTTTCTTTCTTTTTCACGATCCGACCAACTATCCATGTAGGATGTTTTCCTCGATAGTCCATAGCAAGTACCTTTTGACCCACGCTGAACAATCATTTTTATGCCCCATGATGACGATTGTACTGTTTCTCCATCATCACATTTCGTTGCAGCTTGAGAGCTGGAGTCGGACGAATGCTGTCAAAATGTGTACGTATTTTTCTGCCCAGTAACGCTTCCGCTGGAGAGACCCCATTTGTTGTCTGAGGGCTCGGTGTAAAACGGTAGATAAACAAGAACCTCTCTAAGATCTCTTCGGTGACCCCCTCCCCTCTTGATTTTTTGGAGCATTTTTGAACGTACCAACAAAACGTCCTACCTTGCCATTCGATCGCGGATGGAATGGAGGTGTTCGGATATGCCTGATTCCGTTCTGATGACAAAATTCTGAAAAGTTAGATAACGTAAACTGTGTGCCGTTGTCGCTGACTATTTTTTCTGGAACCCAGAAACGACTGAATAATCGCCGCAGTTTTTTAACTGTGCAGCTTGCTGTTGGACGTTCCATGAAAAAAATTTCAGGCCACTTGCTGTATGCATCAACTACCAGAAGGTAAGTCTGTCCATGGAATGAACCAGCGAAGTCTAAATGTATACGCTGCCACGATGACTGTGTTATCGGCCATGATTGCAGCTCTGCTTTTCGTGGTGCTTTTGCTGCCGATGCACATTTTGTACACGAACGGGATAGCTGCTCGAGTTGGGTATCTAATTGTGGCCAGTATACATAACTTCGTGCTAGCACTTTTATGCAGTTTATTCCGGGATGTCCTGCATGCAGCTGTTCGAGAACTGCTGATTGCAACTTCTTTGGGATTATGACACGTTTAGCAAACATGAGACAATCGTCGATGATTGGAAGAGATAGTCTGCTCCGATAAAACTGCTGAAGCTGTGTTTAACTGATCTTCGAGGGCCACCCTTCTAGGTGGAACTTTCTAACTTCTTGCAGAACAGGGTCTCGAGGAGTCTCTTTTCTGACTTCATCTGACGATACTGGAGTGTTTCGAATTGCCGCTGCTACTACACTCCGCATTTCTGGATCAACTGATATCGAGGCAATCATCATGTCCTCCGGTCCAAGATGTTGAACTGCAATAAGTCGTGAGAGGACATCGGCTTGACCGATAGTATTGGATGATTGATACCTTATTTTTAAAGTCGTAGCTCAAAAGCATTGTTGCCCAGCGCTATAGTCTGTTAGCTGTGTAAACAGGAATCCCTTTCTTGAAACCGAATATTGCAATCAGTTGTTTGTGGTCTGTCAACAAAGTGAAATTACGGCCGTAAAGCATTTTATGAAATCTTTCGATAGCAAAAATGATTGCCAGGGCTTCCTTTTCGATTTTAATGTAGTTGCGTTCGGCTGGGGTAAGTGATCTGGCAGCATGGGCAATTGTATTTTCTGTTTTGTCTGGAAACACGTGTGATATAACCGCTCCAACTCCGTGACTAGATGCAACAACAATTCCGAAGATGGGATCGAAGTGTGTCAAGAGAAGCTTTGAGCTGAGCACTGACTTGACTTTGTCAAAGGATGCTTGACATTCTGCTGACCACTGCCAATGTCTATCTTACTACAGTAATTCATTCCGAGGGCCTGTCACTCGATGCATTTCAGGCAAGAATGTACTGTAGTGACTAACTAATCCCAAGAATGACCTTAATAAAAGAACGTCAGTTGGTACGGGCATTTTCTGGATGGCTTCTATATTGGCAGGGTCTGGTCGTCGGCCGTTCTTATCGAGGATGAAACCAAGGTATTTGATCGAATGCATAAAAAAGATACACTTTTCTTCACGTAGTTGGAAACCATATTCCAACACTCGGTTGAGAACTTGGTGTAGACGATCAGAAAGTTCACTGCTAGTGGAACCCATAACTATGATATCATCTAGATAAGCTGCTGTACCCGGTTGGCATTGTATCCATTATTTGCTGAAAGATGGCAGGTGCGGTTTTGGTGCCGAATGGTAGGCGGGTGTATTGAAATAACCCTCGATGAGTGTTGATAGTCAGAAGCTCTCTACTATCGTCATTTACCTTCACTTACAGATAGGCATCCGAAAAGTCTATTTTCGCGAAACATGTTCCAACATTTAGTTTCAGTCAGTCAGCTACAACGTAGGACCAGGCACATTCATGCATCGGTCCAAGTTGCCATGCCTCGTTAGCACAACAAGATGAACACCGGATTCATAGAAATAGTTAATTTAGTGGTGGTAGTATATAAAAGATAGGTTGTATATAAGGATATAGTGTGAGAAGGAAGAAAGTTATGAAGCAATTTTAATCTCAAGGTTTATAGGGAAGATAAAGAGTGTATACATTTAAGCCATTGTGATCGATTCTGAGCCATGTCACCTAGAGTCTCCAACCATTGGTTACGATAGTCGCGCGGACCCCAACCAGGTAGTTTGCATCTGCCAACATGGCTCAGACTAGAGGTTAGTGACTTCAAGCACTGATGCCATGTTTTGGTTTGGCCGCCCCTAACTCTCTTCCAACCATCCCCTACACTAGTCATCATAGCGCGTCGTGGTAATCGGTGTTCAGGCATACGTAACACGTGGCCCAACCATCTCAGTCGATGAAGATCCATGACCTCATTAACTGATTTACCATCATTCCCCGATACCCTATGTCTAACCTCACTATTACTTACCCGGTTATCCCAGCAGATGCAAGCAATATTTCTGAGGCATCTGTGATCAAATACTAGTAACTTACGAGTATCTTCTACTCTTAATGGCCATGTTTCACAGCCATAAAGTAGAACAGAGCGAACTGATGCGCAGTATACTCGTCCCTTAATTGATAGACGGATATCTCGTCTTCGCCATAGGTGACATAAGTTGGCAAAAGCCAAACGAACTTTTTGAATCCTTGCAGAGATTTCGTCAGACAACAACCTATTAGGGCTGATCAGAATTGCAATATAAGTGAAGTTGTTGACGCGTTCGACTACTTCATTCCCTATCCTTAGTTCAGGTGTTGACGCAGGCCAGTCCTGGAGTAACAATTTACATTCAAAGAGGGACAAATGCATCCCAAACATCCTGGCATTATTACTGGGTTCTAACAGAAGACTCTTCATTTTGTCAGCGTCTTCACCCAACAGGACTATGTCATTTGCGTATTCTAAGTCGATTAGTGGATCCCCTGATAGGGGATCAATTCCTGAAAATTCAGTCGACGAGAGTGTTATTTCCAGCAACAGGTCTATAATGAAGTTAAACAAAGATGGTGATAGTGGACGACCTTGTCGAACACCACTTGAGGTTGTAAAATCATATGACAGTTCGTCATGAGCTCTCACTCGACTGGTAGTGTTTGAGTAAAGAGCCTTCACAAGGTTTATGTACTTCTGAGGTACACCTTTCAGTGACAGACACTGCCACAGAACCTCTCGGTCTACAGAGTCAAATGCTGCTTTTAAGTCAAGAAAAACTATCATTGCCGAACGCCGATAGGCATGCCTCTGCTCTAAAACCTGACAAATAGTGAATATGTGGTCGATACAGCCACGACCAGGTCTGAAGCCAGCCTGATTTTCTCGTGTTTGTAGTTCACGAGTCTTAGTTAGGCGTCTGATAATTATTGAGGCTAGTATTTTAGATGCTATGTTAGTCAGACTAATCCCTCTATGGTTATCGCAGGATGATTTTGACCCCTTCTTATATATTGGGACAATCAGTGATTGTGACCAGTCGGATGGGATTACATCCAACTCCCAGATTTTAGCCAAAATATTAGTCAACCTAGTCGCTAAAATTGGACCACCATATTTAAAGACCTCTGGAACCAATCCATCAGGACCAGCTGCTCTTCCTCGTTTCATATTGGTTTTAGCCTTTTGAAACTCAGGTAGGGTCGGGGGACCTACTTCAATGTTCCATTCAGACTGTCTGGGAATAGTGGGTAGTTGTGCAGTAGCTGAAGGTCAGCTGAACTGCTCGTTAATGTGTCCCGCCTATAGCTCTAAACGTCTGGCCTGAAAGCAGATAGGAGTCTCATCTTTTTCCGAGATTGTCTCAC